TCTGAGAAGATGCACAGCTGCCTGAATATCTCTTCTTCAGTGGGACAGCTCAGGAGGAAATGAGTTTCTGATTTTCCAGAAGCAGATGTCACATAAAATACTTTGTGTGAATCTTGACAGTAAAATGGAACTAGTCAGTTAGCCACACTAGTATGTATCCAAATAGGTATGACCATGTAGTAAAGAGAGGATTCCCTTTGCTTCTGTCATTGCATGTACTTACATATGACCACTCTTAGCTATCACAGCCAGGGCTCTGCTGATATGTGTAGTTGGGTTAACTGGGCTGTGAACTTAGAAGGTGCCTGCTGTGTGGCAGGAGACAAATCCCTGAAGTTTGCCTATGATGCTAAGAGTCAGTGTGAACTGTGGAACCTCTGCCTTCTGTTGAGTATCCCAAACTGGTCCAGAGAGCCCATTGGAGGTACAGGGTGGGATGGGAATTCCAAACTAGTCCAGAGAGTCCATGGGAGGTGCAGGATGGAGAGGGTACTAGTAAATACTGGTAATGAGTTGGTTTTTTGTTTGTTTGTTTTTTGTTTTGGCAGAAGGTAAGTTTTATATATCTAATATTAAATGCTTACTAGCATGATGAGGCCAGTTGACTTTGCAGGGAAAATAATACATCTTAGTTAAATGCTGCCAGTAAATGTACACAGACAATTATTGAAAGGTCTCAGAAGCACAATCTCACATGAAAGCAGCATAAAATTCAATGACAAGTATCTCAAGTCCTTGTAAAGTGTCTCTTGGAGGCCTATATTTATCCTACTTAGGTGAGATCCTTGGTTAGATCATCAGAAGTGAGGGAGGTTCCCATGAGTTACCTTGAGGTAAGTCCCATGGGAGTAGAAGGGACCACGGGTCTCTTTGCTGTCACCTGGATCACACTGAAAGCTGGTTCCCTACAGCATCTATTATGTAAGAGTGTGTCTATTCATTGCTGAGTGTATATCTTTCCTTTTCCTCTGCTGAAACCTGCCTCCACTGCAAATCTTTCCCTGCTGATCCAGCCCATGCTTCTATGCTGATGACCCACATCACACAGTGCAACCATTTAAAAATCCACCTTGCAGCCAGCAAGGCACAGAAGACTCCCATCCTGAGAAATAGCTAAGTACTTAGGTGGTCTGGTGTTGATTTTGGTAGGGTTTTTGGGATGCCTACTATCAATGTTATAATTTAATTGCAATCTGTACAACTCAACAGTTGCTTTTGATGCCTGTTGCTTCAAAACAACAACTACAATTTGACACATTGTCTGTCAAATTGTTTGAGAAGGATAACATTCATAAAATAAGCTGCTTAAAGCTGTGTAATATCACTACATATATTTTGTTGTCATTAAAGTATAACCCTACAGGAATTTATGGATTGATTGCTTGACAGGAAGTTAAAGGCAAATTTAATTGTGGAGGGAGGGAATGCTTACTTGGGGGAGAATTACTGTCTTGCTCTTGAGTGTTGGTCTCTAGCCCAAACCTTGTGTGTGTAAGAAGTAGTCATTCTGTCATTACATTTCTATGTTCTTGGACACTAAACAGTGGTAGCATTCTCTTACTTTAGACTGAGCTTTGGTTTCCTGGCTAGTGATTTCTTCCCCAAATCAAGCTGTCTCTGATTTTCTGCTTCTCTCTCTCTCTCTCTCTCTCTCTCTCTCTCTCTCTCTCTCTCTCTCTCTCTCTCTGTCTCTCTCTCTTTGTCCTCTCTCTCTCTCTGCTCTCTTCCTCTCTTCCTCCCTCTCTCTCTGCTCTCTTCCTCTCTTCCTCCCTCTCCTTTACAAGGCCCATGGTTTACTGCTGAGGGTCCCTTGTTGCCATCCTACACATAACTACCCAGTTCTGCTCCTTGAGGTAGCAAGGATTTCATTGAGACCTTGTGAGGCTGGGCTGTTCTGTCCTTCCCAGCCCACTGGCTGACAGTTGCTGATTATTTACTAAATTTACTGGGAATGCAATAGTCCTGTTGTGATTATTGCCGGTTTTGCTCTCTAGCAGTGAGTGATTCTCAATCTGTGGGTTATAACCCCTTTGGGGGTCAAATGATGGGGAATCAGAACAATGGCAAGGCAGAATTTGCCTTTATACAATCTGTAGTCTGGATCAGTGTGTGAGTAATGCTAGGCCAGATACTGCCTGTGCTGGCAGAGATGAGAGAAGGGCACAGTAGAGGTTCAGGGTTTCCAGGTGGAGGTTAAGATGTTTCTGGTGGGTCAGGGTAAGAGGTAATTCAAGAACGCCTAATCACAATATACAACTGGCTGACTCACTGACACTCTCCCCTTCCCTCACCTCCTCTCTCTTCCCTTCCTCTCTCCTCCCCATTCCTCTTGTCTCATTTCCTCTTTCCTCTTCTCCCCTCCCCTCTCCTCTTTCCTCTCCTCTCCTCCTCCCCTCTTCCTCCCATCCTGTCCCTTCTCTTCTCTTTCTAGTGTCTTATCACATAGCTGATTGTTCTGGAACTCATGTGGACCAGGCTGACCTCTTAGAGATCCACCTGTGTCTATGTCTCAAGAGCTGGGACCAAAGGCTTGTGCCACCACAGCCAGTGAGAAGTCATCATTATTTTTTGAGTTTTCTCGGCGTATTTGTGAAAGTTTTCTCCCATCTTCTGGTAGACTTTACATTTGTTTATGGAATCTTTTAAAAGAAAGGGAATGCTGTAATATTTCTTAATCTTTCTTCTATGGATTCTGAATTATGTCAGGGTTTCAAAATCTAGAAAATGGATTATTTTTGAGGACAACAATATGGTGACTTACTCAGTGACAAAATTTGTGGGGTGGGGGGCTGGGAAGAGTTGGGGGAAGAGAAACTGATTAGACTCTTGTGTATGAAAAAGCTCATTACACACATTACATTATTTCTAATATATAATATATGTTATTTCTAATATATATTCTATTATTTCTAATATATTATATAATATATATTATTATTATAACATAATAATATTTCTAATATATATTATGTATAAGTTATATATCCATAATATATAATATATATTAGATAATAATTGGAGCACTTGCTGCAGAGCACCTTCTTCCCCCTCCTTGTTCCACTCTGAGTTCTAGAATATCAGACACATTCATCCCTGATGACAGGTGGCTTTTTAGGAAGCCGAGGCTTGGCCTGTTAGAAAATCTGGAAGTAATGGTCCAGCTAAGCAGCCCTCCAACATTCCTTGTTGTCACTTGGCTTCCATGGTACTGTTGTAATCATGTATGGTTTTTCCAGCAGACTTTTTTTTTTAAACCTGAATCTTAACCAAAGTTATGAGCTATAAACACATCCTTAGAGTTAGAAAGGACCCAGCAGCAGGAACCCTACACTCCAGTCTCTCCTCCCCATCACTGCCTGACCTTGGGCTTGTTCCCCATACCTTTCTCATCATCTCCACTTGATTTCAAATGCAGGAATGCCTCTCTCCCATCTCTTTTCTGTGACTTTCAGCTTCAGGCTGTGTCTGCATCTATGGGCTTTTTTGGTCTATCGTTTTTCTTCTAATCTTTTCTTTCCATCTTTGAACCTCTTATTTGAAATCCCTTCAAGGAGAGCAGTTATTCATTTGGAACCTTCTTTGTTTCTGCAGGCCTTTATATGTGTCTGCCTCATTTCCTGGACCCTGTCTCTGTGGCTGAAATTAGAAACCTGCAGAGGCAGACCAGATGCATGAATATCATGAAGTAACAGCCTTGAAATAGCCGAAGTCGGCTGGTAGAGGGTTGGGCTACACAGCTCCAGTGAGAGCTTGCCTTGGGGCTGTCCTAACCAGCAGTCCCATCAGTCTCCTGCTTCCTAGACTTTTGAGGGTGCCCTCAGTGCATGAGTATCCTGTAAGCCATCCCTTGCCTTTTCTACCTCCATTTTTTCCTCTTTCCTCTAAGTGTGTTAGGATGTAAAGTGGATACAGTCAAGGGATACCTGTATGCAATGGGAGTTTCAATCCACAGAAACTAAACAGAAATGAGAGGTGCTGAGCTTCAGTTGGGTGTAGTATTCAAGCGTGCTCTGAAGTGGCTCATTTTTAAAAATGGTATTTTTACCATCCCAGCCACAATTTCCCCTCCCTTCTATCCTCCTAGTCTCTCTTCCTCAACCCCCTCTGTTCCCACCCCCCAATGCATTCTTCCAATTCTGTTTTGGAAAGGGAAGATCTCCCCTGAGTATCAACAACACACACACACACACACACACACACACACACACACACACACACACACACAGTGTATATTTAACTGTGCAATGGCAGAAATAGTTTCAGATGATGAGACAGAGAAGTTGGTAGTGTTCAGAATACATTTGGAAGCTGCTAGCAGTTTTGTGTTAGGAGCATCTCCTTCCTGAGTGTGCTCTACCTCATGGTACATCCCCGCAGGTTAAGGGCTGAGATCTGTGGATGCTGACCTCAATGAAGTACCATCTATAAACTGTAGCTTTATTACTGTAGGTGACAGTTGTGACTAAATTTCCAAGAAAACAAGGATAGGGGTACAATGAAGGCAAATGAATAAACATACCAGGGATGTTTCCAATGGGAGCTGTCTTCCCTGAAGTGTTTAGTACTCTATCAATGTGGACATAGGAGGGAAGTAGATACTTGCTTTAGTAAATATGCATTGATTAATCAAGGCTTTTGAGATGGGCCTCCAAATATTTAGCTTGCCCTTTACAACCCTGCCCCTCCCATTGTATGAATAATAGTAGAGGACTTTGTTCCAGTTTCATTGGATCAGGTGGCCAGTGTCTGCAGCATATTTGCTCCCAATAGAGCCTTTGCCTCTCCTTGTCTTTAGCTGGGGCCCAGGCACATACCTGCTGAGTGACCCGAGATGCTTGTCCTCCTGGGAAGGTCTCACAGCATTCTAAGCATGCAGGCTGTGTGGGCTATCCCTGGGAACCCAGCACTTCTAGGATGGTTGCTGTGGAAAAGGTAAATTCTGAATTCCAGTTTGGAACTCAGAACACAACTTGTTTGCATACTGATAAAGGAAGTTCTTTGACGGTGAGGTAGGATGTGGTGGATCTTGCCACAGGGGAAGTGGTAATACAGTGATGTCCTTTTCGGATGGATCCAAAAGGGGGTAGCTTCCCTGTGCTGCACTACAACACACAGCAGGTCAGTTGCAGGGAGATGTGAAGTACACAAAGCTAGAACACTACCGATTTTAAGTTGCACTTCAGTAACTTTGATTTAAAAAAAAAATCCAAAGAGACTTTAAAAAGAAGAGTTAGGTGAAGACAGTGGGTACAGAGGCAGAACACACTCATGGCACAATAGTAATTTTTCAGAATAGTGAACATGTTGATTGTAGAACATGATTGTAGATTGACTATGCATCCCACATGCATCTGAAGACAAACCTTCTGAAGGATGGTAATACTGTACACCATCTTTCTGGGATCTTTGTCTCTGATCAGTGACCTCATTCCTAAGGAAGAGACTCAAGTGTGCTGAGCAAAGACATCTTTTGTTAATTTTTCCTCAGAAAGAAACTGTGGATTTACTTTTCATCTCTCTTTTCCTTAAAGAAGGATCCTTATAAATTGATCTTTAGATGAACTTTTTAAATGCAACTTAAGAGAATAGAATAGTGGTTCCTAGATTCTGGAAGGGTTATGTTGTAGTGAGTAGAGAGAATCAATATGTACAGGGCTGTATATGAACAAAGGGATAGCTTCCAGTGTCCTGTAACATATCAGGACATTTATGGTTAACAGTAATTGAATATTCGAAAAATGTTAGGAGTTTTATTGTTCTAAAGCCAAATATTTGAGGAAACAGATCAACCATTATCCTTACTTGATGGCTATAAATGTGTACATGTATTGGAATGTCTTATTATAGCCTATAAAATGTATTATTATATGTTGATCAAAACTAAAGTTAAAATTTACTTTTAAATGATGCTTTGAAAGGAAGTTGCTTTGTCTTCCAGAAGGTCACTGTGGGCAGATGATTATTTTAGGGAGAGCCCCCTCCCCATGATGTTACTTAAGCTGGGAGGAATAGGACTCCATTAACAAACATTGGTCAGGCATAGGCTTCTGTTGGGCCAAGAATTTTGGAAGAAGCAAAGATGCATAATACAGAAGCAGTCTTCAAAGGAAATTTATGATCTAGAGGGGTAGATAAGATAGACTTGCAAAACAGAGGCAGAAAATTCAGGAAAGTCTGAAATGAACTGTATGCTGTAATCACTTTTGTACAATGATGTATTGTGGATGAATTTGTTTTAATGGCAATGTGCTCAACTGCTTAATCCTGGCAATTAGTAGAAAATGGTAATTTTTTTTAAAATGTAGAGTCCTTGAAGGAGAATGAAACTTGTCAAGATGTTGGATGTAAAAATTGATTCTCTTTCCATTTTATTTCACATGAGTTTATTTGGAGTTAGATAGGGACATGAATCTTCTAAAGATTTGGAGTTGGGGTTATGGTTCACTTGTGGAGTGCTTGTCTGCCATGCATAGTAACCATTGGATCATTTCCCCAGTGTTTGTTTCTTTATGTGTTATCTACACACAAATGCAGCTAACCGCTTGGCATTTCTACAAGGGAGTTCTTTATCTTCAGTTCCAAATGAAGGAATCATATACGTTCTCAAAGTTTTTCCAGATCCTGAATGGTGAAAGGCACACATAGTCGTGTGAGCAATAGTTTGAGGAGTTAGTAGATGAACGCTTTCCAAGTGCTTGGCAATAGAGGGATAGGTGGCTAACTATATCTGTATACTGGAATACTAAAATGGGTGAACCAGACATACATATACCAACAGTGATAGTCATGTTTGGGTCTAAAAAATTTGTAGAATGGATAGTATGTTATAATTTACCTGAAATATACAATCAGATAATATCAGGAATTCTGGAGTACCTGTTTATATCGCTTTGTCACACTGGTCAGGTAGCATCCTAATGGCTTGTTTGGGCTGGAGAGGGAGTTTAAATGGGGATGAAACTTACAAATATGAAGGAATTGTTTTAAATTCCAAAATTGGAGCAGGCTTAAAATGTTAATAACACTGAATGTTGGTGATATGGATACTTACTGGAACTTTTCAATATTTTCAAAAGGTCTCTTCTATTTTGTAGGGAAACTCTTTAAAAGGATGGTAGGCAGGACTAAGATCAGTATGCTTTGCTGAGAAGTGCCACAGCAGCTTGATTAGACCCTTACTTCTGTGATAGAAGGAGGCCAGAGTTTAGACAAGAGTGCCTATGTCAGGTCATGTACTGAGACTTCAGACATTTTGTAAAACTACCCCTTTCCAGTACACACATAGTGTCTACCTGTTACATGGTGGTCAAGTTCCATGCTGGACACAGGCTTGGCAGCTAATATTGAAGGCCAAATTTGTACAAATGTTTTGGCATCTCCTTAAAGAACATCTTTAACTGGCTTCTTTATAATATGATTGGCTACTCACATAATTGGCTAAAATCTCAATGTGACACTATTATGTGTTCTCAGAGGAAGGCCAAGAACTGAGAAGCGTCAGTTGGCTTCATGAGGAACTGTTTATTGCCCATGTGCTTTGGCACCTACCACATTGGTGCTTAAATATTTATTTGAACTAATTCATCTAAGGATGTTTTATTCATGCATAACTGTTAATCAGGGTGGGTATGAGATCTTCTCCCTGGCTACTGAGAATACAATATGATACATTAGGTTTAAAAAAATAGTAAGAGAGCGGGAAAGACCTTTGTACCCACAAAGAGTCTCCTCGGAGAAGCTGTAGAGGCCCCTTGAGAGCTTCAGGTTCCAGTGCCAAGGGCAAGCCATTTACTGCAGCATATGGAAAGCAGGTGACACACCCCTGTGTGATCACCATTCCTCACGGTAGCCTTCTTCCCCACACTCACTGTATCTTCAACACTTTCTTCCCAAAAGCACAGCATCCCATAGTCTTTTGGTGAATAAATAGTGCTATATTTCTCCATGATCTTTGTCAGAAATATGTAGTGCCTTGAGAAATAGGGTCTTATCTTCACATTCTGGCAGACAGCCACAGGGCAACAACAATGATTTATAGTATTGGTGAAGTCTCTTGGACTCCTCTGAACAAAACTCAAAAGGAAATTTCCCATACCTGACATTGGGGTTTTTATTAGTTTATGGCTCTTGAAAGGTACATTATCATTTCATGTATAATACATATATATATATATATATATATACATATATGCACACACCTATATGTGCATGTATACATATATATGTACATATAGATATGTGTACATAAATATATATTTTAAATAAGCATATAGAATGTTTAAAAAATATCCTTAGTATTATTTCTCTCCTTCTTCCCCTCCCCACTTAAAATCCTCAAACTATTGCTCACACGACTATGTGTGCCTTTCTCCATTCAGGATCTGGAAAGGTCATAGACCATAGAGGGGAAGCCTACTAGTACCATTTTCTAAACTAATATGATCTCTAGTATATTCCAAGTACACATCCTTATACCCACAAATAAGTAGGACCCTCACCTCTCATCAAAGAAAATTCTATTTGCCATAGGTAGAGACTATTACAGAAGTCCACAGCTGGTCAAAATGCAGGCAAAAGGTGACTGTGGGGTACCAAGCTCCAATTGCTGTAACTACAACACAATTCTTCAGGGAAATTCCAGAAGAGGAGGCAAGAACATTATAAGAGGATCAGGACACCTGCTGCTAGACAGTGTCTTCCAGACATGACAGGGAAGCTATACCCATGAAATATCAATAGTGTGGTTTCCCAAACAAGACCTGGCAATGATGATAGCAGTTGGCAAACCAGTGTTGGTAGAAGAAATGTCATAGAGCCCCAGCCCTACATTACATAAAAATCTATAGAAACTCAGTGGCTACTGAGAGGAGAATCAGTTTTCTTCAGGGATAAGACCCAGATAGACTATCCAATCCCAAGTGGTCAGCCTTAAACACATGTACAGGGGCAAAGTACAGTGTGTGTGTGTGTGTGTGTGTGTGTGTGTGTGTGTGTGTGTACATATATATCAATAACAATTGAAGACTGGGTCATGAATTTGAGAGGCTAGTGGGCCCACAGGAATTGGAGGAGTGGGAATTATGTAAATATAGAAATCATGTGTGAAATTCTCAAAAAATTAAATAAAAATGAAATTTCAAAAATACCCACATTCCCACAGGGAAAGAAATGATACAGTTTCGGAGGCATTTCAGTTTTGGGTGGGGTGAGAGTAGATGCATAGTCACGCCCCTCCACTCTCCATTCCATGAGTACTATGTTCAGTGTTCATGGGTGAAAGGACACCTGCTTAAATGAGAAGTCCAGCTTTCCAGGCAATAAAACAGGGCAGATTTCTGCCTTGCTGAGTATTGCCCTCGCCTCTGGGTGATAGCACTGTCCTGAACAGCATTTGCTTGTTAAATTACCTTTGTGCACTTTTATGGTCCATTACATCACCATATAGCTTAAGGATTCAACTGGTTATCCTAGTTTCATCTGGCACACAGTTTTAGAAGGCAGTGCTAAGTGGGTGCATGGCTGGTGTCCCTGTGGAAAGTAACAGGGTGAAACCTTCTTTGTTTAGCCTGGAGATGGTTATTAGATAGTCCATTGCTACAGAAATGGAATTTTAAATTTTATAAAGCAGGTGATGTAAATATATTTCCAGTGATGTTTGTGTTTACCAAAGAAAATAAGCTGTTAGTATGATGGAGAAATATTCACATTGGATGATCTAGGCAACATACCAAGAAAAGGTTCCAGGGCTGTTAACACTGATTATGTTGAGGCTGCCTAGAGATTTTGTGGTTCTGACCTGGCAGATGGATGACAATGGTTTGAAAATCCACTGAGAAGAAACTGGTTTTGTGCTGACACTTCATAAGAAGACTGGACTGTGCCAGTCAAATTTACGGAGGCCCAACCTCCCAACCACTTCTTGAGTGGGAATAATCTATTCTCTGTTTACATCTCAGAGGAATTCTGAGGTTTGAGCTTGACAGTGATTTTACATTCTCCAAACGATAAACACATCTGCTGCTATTACCATTAGAGTAAGTGGTGAGCCATATGTATTATAGGTTCAAATTTTCCCAGAGGGTGGAAACTGAGAACTTTAGGAGCTTCTCTAGCGAGTT